TCCAGTTCCAATGATGTATTCTTCATAATTATTATTTAAATTTTGAAGTGTTGCTTCAAAATTTTCTGGTTCTAATAAACTTCCAAGAACCGAGGGATGAATTTTTATTAACTCTTTTTCGATTAATCGCGCCGTGAACGTTCGGAAAAAGTGCTGTTTCACAGTTTTACACTCAACATAATTAACATCGTTATCCTCACATATTGGACGCAGCATACAGGTCGGTTGATCATGCGGTGGACACCAGGTTTTGTTTTGAGCGACTACATTTAAAAAATCCCTGGGCAAACCATTTTGTTCCATATTGATTAAATCACGTCTTCTGGAAACCATAGTTGCTCCTAACACCCAGTCTAAACAACACGCCAATAAGTGGTAGGAGTTGACCAAATCATCTGTGACTGCTGGAAAACTCGCTCGAGACTTAATGAATAACAGCCACGTCAATCGGAATAAATCTGAACCCGTAGGATGCATTTGACTAGTTTCATAATCCGTGTCGGAAAATAGGACACCAAATGACCGACCGAAATTGCGGAAAACTACAGACGAAACAGAAAATTGACGCTCCAGTAGTTCGAGACGGTCTCTCATCTCATCCGCCATATCAGTCATGTCAGCCCATTTCCTAACGCGATGAAAGAATTGAACCATGCTCATTTTAGCCGTAGACAGCAAACGTGACAATGAAACGTAGGCGTTTTCAACATTCCCTGACATTCCATCTGCTGTTGAGCGCCGACAGCACTTGTATAATGAGCATACTAGCCACTGGAATTGATCGCCATCAATTGAATAATTTGCCCAGACATCTTTGTACTTTTCCCAGGCTTCTTCTCTAACGTTTCCAGTTTTGCTCTCCATCACTGATAACAAATAGATGCATCTGAATAAAGACACGCCGGATGATATCTAGATATGCTGAAATGTCTGTAGAATGAACATCCATAAATCTGTATGTAACGGGCGATGCCGAATAGTATGGTTGTAAACAGAGGAAACTGTTTATTGCATCCCGCTGTCTGGCTATTCGAAACTTCCTTAAGAGACTCACAGTCACAAAGCTCGACAAAGGCAGCTAGAAGTTTGGTATTAGTTGTAAAATATGCGGGGTTGTATTGAACGTCGATGATAATAACATGGAAAACTCAAAATTACCTCATCAGTATCGATAGGCAGCTATATGGGCAAAGGAAATTTCAAGCCCAGAACAAGTAGTGTAGGGCTGAATTAGTCAGCCGGAATTCGACCGTGGGGAATACGTGACAATTAAGTTAAATATTCACTATAAGGTGGCGTCAACACTCCTTTCACAAAAATCACACACCAAAGATTCAGGACTACAGACAAAAGTCAAAATCATCATGATTCTCTCAAACTAAATCATAAATTGAACCAACACATTTTCAATGTATCTTACAACCACAAATAGAAGCAGTGAGATTAGAGATCTAACAGGGAGAAAGACAAATAATAGGCATGAAGTGAACACATAATATCCTAGTGTAACTACAATCATGCGTAATCCAGGAGAAGAGAGGATGATAACTACAAAGTTAGTTGAAATATCCAAATAAGGATAATTATTTCAACTAGATTGTTCACGAGAGAACTTCTGAACAACTACTTCGTCATACTATAGCCTTAAGTATTCGTTACAAATCGAATAGACTGTTGAGAATATAAGAGATTGACAAATCGACCACATTCGAATCGAAACGTGAAGGTTGATAAACGTGTTGGTAAGAAATCACACTATCCTTGAGTGAGTTTCTGAATAGTGATTGCAGGAAACGCCGGAATGGAGTTTGAGGGAAATCGTTAATACTGACATGTATTCGTCCAGTTTCCAAAATGTATTCCAAGTAAAATATCCTGCACATATTAGACGGCATATTCCTATCCTGTATATCACGTATAAATCAGTGTTGAAGAATCAGTATTTCGAAATTCAGGTGAGCTTATTGAAATTGACAGAAATTTTCGGCATCTGAAAAATCACGCATATCTGACATGAGTGTTTCATCTTTCTTCCCCTGCACATCACATTAGCACAATATTTAACAAATTCACTGATGAAGTCATCAACCAGTTTGACACCATGTGTAATGCATCTCAAATTATGCAGCTATTGTGGAATTATCCACAAAGGACGACGACCTGTGAAGTCTGCTTGTGTAAACGAGACACTGTAGCCTCCAGTGACATCAGTTCTGTCGTGCATACCATGTCGGGTGAATCAACAGGATGATATGCAGAACTGATCACCATATTCACCAACACCCTCATTTGTGCATATCTGTGAGTAACCTAGACAGTTGATATCTGCTTCCTGACTCATTCGCCAATCACTCATTGATTTAACTCATCAACTAGAGTGAATACTTTAAAAAGATACACGACATGCAAAGCTTACCTGAGACAAAGGAGTTATCGGCATTTAGTTGAGCGGATTCTTTATGGTCGTTTCAATTGATTTCACGATGAATCTGTGAAGTTTACTTCATAAAACGATTTTGCATCATTGATTTCATCCATCCCACCTGATATCGTGAACTACATGGATTTTAAATTCAATTTGGAATTCACCATGGGTTATTTCTGATTATAACTGTAAACACTGGAAGTGCTATGCTGAGGATGGCTCAGTGATCTACAAATGACGTGGAATTTTCTTCCCAGTCACGAAATATTCTTGAACATTCACAGAATCGAAACGTTCATATGCCAAATACTCAACTGTGGATAGAATGGCATTTCGGATGTGTCAGTTACACCATGAATCTTAAATGTGCATCCTAATTTATCTTTCATTATACATAGCCAGTTGCACTGATACAATCAGTAGTTGTATATGTCAGTCGTCGGGTAATAACTCCGATTTCGTGAACACATTCATTGAACATTTCATATATGCATACGCATTTTGCACCAAATCTCCACTAAAGACTAAACTTCAATCAGCGTTGCTTTCAGTTATTCAAACATGTTCGTCAGAGCAATGAAAGCATAGGCAAGCACATTACTGAGGAACATATTAGGCCAAGAATATTAATGGAGTACTTCTTATGATGAAGTGGAACATTGAGAATAGCATCAGGCATTCAATCTCACTCTCACTTATATGTCTTCATTCAGTCTTTGTTCTCGTCTCTGTTATACTAGTCGTGTGGACAATCAGCAACTTCACTTCTCATTCAACTTCTTCAATGGCGATTTTATTCTTCAGTGTATTCGAACATTTACTCCATGATGCTGGTGCAGAGTCTGAGACGACATTGAACAAATAAAAGTTACTTCTGAGTGGCAGATCTAAGTGAAACAGGACGCCGTCACATTATTCAATATAAGACGTCTTTACATTTGAGCAAATCGAAGACACGGTCTTTCACCGTGAATTCGTCAATGAGGATGTAGGAGTTAAACAACAGCGTGAAGAGGAATGTAGCATTCTCCAGCTGATCACAACTCGTTATTCATAAGTAAGTATGGATTTCATGAGAACTTAAGCACACAGAGAATTAGTCAGTCTAAGTGGAATCAAGTATCAAGAAGCTAAAGTGAAGTGTAAACTGTGATCAATGCAAGAGCATGAGAATGGAACCATTGTGATACCAGATGTGTCAAGGGTACTCTACAGTTCAATATATATACCGAAGCACTTTGCATATGAAATGCCCAGAATGCAGTTTTTCGATGACCATCAGTGAACATGCTACCTACAGGGAATGGTGTTAACAGTGAAGATGTAAAGTAGAGTCTAATATGTTTTTCACGACGAATGTTTAAATGCGATTGCGAGTAACACATGCGAAAATATACAAGGCGCTTCAATTTTGATTGAGGTGAGCTGTCTGATGTGGGACAAGTGATGTGGATCAGTGTGAGAGAGTAGAAGATTAGATTCAGTCAATTGAGCTTCAGTTTTCACTGATCTCACCGATAGATTCTACACACTATGTGAGGTCCTATCGCTTCCTTCGGTTCTTTCAGCTGATCATGCTGAAATCGGCTATTTCTACAACAATACAGTTAGCAATAGAGCTTTCATTTTCATCATTGCTATAATTAAAATATTTCTGCAGTAGAATAATCAGAAAGAGTGATTAGTATTCATGAGACACATATCGCGTGATGGTGACCTCAAATATCACAAATATTTCTTGATTCTGTAAACAATTACGCATTGCCAAAATCACCTCATTTGTAGGGTGTTCATAATCTTTACTAATCACTATTCAACTGGCACACTTGTAGTGATCATTGTATATCATTAGTTGGTGTCAGTGAAATAACATCGATATTTCTTTCTTATGTTAACCATTATGCCTCCACAGAATCTTCTTTAGTCAATATTCAGCTAGCACACTGATTCATGATGAAGCACAGGTGTATCTTTCTTTCTATCACTTTCAGATATGAACTGATCCAATTAGGTGAATGAGAATTCAGGTTCCACTTTCAGCTATGAACATTAAGTTAGACAGAG